TATGTAAATTTTTTATTTTTATTATTATTTTTTTTATCTTTTATAAATATATAAATATATAATATATAAAAGAAAGTGATCTATGATATGTACGATTTGTATATTTTATTAAACAAAAAATAATAAAATTTTATATATTTTAATATTAGAAGCTTTCAATAGATTTGTAATCTGTCAAAATTTTTGTTACCTATCAAAACTTTCATAATTTTACCTTTAATTAGAGCTCTGAATCAGGTCAAGTCAACCTGTTTACCTGATCTAACCTGATCTAAAAATCCAGGTTAAATCAGTAGATTTTCAAGTTAATATCAAATCAGATCAATAGGTCAAACTGACACAACCTAATCTAATAAAATTCAGATCAACATATTATTATTTTTGAATGATGTTTTATCATTCAATTAGAACAATTTATTATTATTCTTGAATAATAGTTTTATCATATGAGAATGATGATTTATTGTCTATCTGAAAATGATATTTTATTATCTGTGAATGATATTTTTATCATTTAAGAATAATAGCTTTATTATTTAATTAGAACAATTTATTATCATTTTTGAATGATGATTTTATCATTTGAGAATGATGTTTTATCATTTAATTAAAATGATTAGTTATCATTTGAGAATGATAATTTTATCATTCAAAAATAATAATTTATTGTTTAAGAATAAAGTTCTGAACGGTTCAGATTAATTAAAGATTTTTAGATCAGTTCAGTTCAAATTGATTTCAGATTGCATAAAAATTAATCCAAAAATTTTCAGTTCAGTTTGGATTTTTTTCAAATTATAATTCTAATCCAAACTGAAAAAAATCTGAACTGAACTGATAATTTTAAATTAATCTGAAAGTTCAGTTTGATTATATGCGAAACTCTTAAAGAATTGCAAAATTTGCGAATTCTCTAAGAGGATCGCAAAAATTTAGCGAAACTCTTAGAGAATCACAATTTTTTGTAGTTTCTCTTAGAATTTCGCAAAATTATTACGAAACTCTTGAAAAATCGCAAAAATTTGTGATTTCTTTTCAAATTTCGCAAAATAATTGCAAAACCCTTAAAGAATTGCAATTTTTGTGATTTTTTTTAGTATTTTGTAAAAAATATTGTGAAATTTTTAGAGAGTCACAAAAAATTGCGATTTCTCTTTAAATTTTGTGAATCTCAAAGAGAAATTTGTGATTTTTTGCGATTTTCCTAGAGTTTCGCATATAAATTGCAGATGCTTTATATAATCGAACTGTAATTTTGGATTAATCTGAAAATTCCAGTTCAGTTCAGATTTTTACCATTTTGCAATTCAGTTCAGATTCAGATTAGCATTTTTAAGATTAATAATCTGAACTGAACTGAATTAAAATTTTTAGTTCAAATACAGATTAGCATCTAATCTAGACTGAACTGAACCGTTTAGAGCTTTATTCAAGAATGATGATTTTATCATTTAAAAATGATAGTTTTATCATTCAAAAATAATGTTTTATTCAATTAGGTCAGGTCAGATTAGGTCAGATCAAATGAAAATTTAAATCAGGTAAGATTTTTGTTTGACATGACCTGATCCTTTCAGTTCAAGTAATTTGATTAACCTAACCTAAACTGACCTGTTTGAAGCTTTACTTTAATATAAATATTTGGCTAAATATTTTTGATGAGTTTCAATTTTAATGCTTATCAAAAATTCTAGATTTTGTTTGACATCTTAAGTTGTTGACTAATACGATATAAATACAATGTTCAGAAATTTTTGGTAGCACTTTTTTCATTGTGCATTTAATTGAACTTTTCTACTGTATTTTTTTTGATCACAAAAAATAGTTTTAAAGTTAGTTTATGATTTAATATAGAGAAATATATAATTCTTTGCCAGTTTAAAATCATTTTCATATGTAAAATCTTCAATTTGATGAGTTCTTTATTATTTGATCACAATTGCTATAAACAAAATATTCAGAATTGATAAATTTAAAAAGTATAATTTAAAGTAAACAAATAATCATACTTTTTTAAATGTAATTTATTAGTGTATATTGTAAATATTTTATTTGAAATCATATAAAACATATTAAATACATATATTATCTTTTATTAACTTGAAATACCTTATAATCATCTGCTTAAAACTGACCTTTTAGAATATCAATTTGAGAATAAACACTTGGATTATTAGTATACCAATAATTACTTCTAAAATAATATATTAATATATTGCTATAAATATTACCAAATACTAGACAATTATCCAGTATTTTATGATTTTTTATAATTAATAATGACTATAATAAATCATTTATCAGGCAAAAAATCATTATCAAGTGTTAATAATTTTTATTAAGCATTATTTATATTAATAAAATGACATTTAAAATTAATTAATTATATATAGTACAATTTGTATAATGAATTTTATTAATAATTATTATTTTTCTTTTCTTTTTTCTTTAGACTTGTATTTAATTTAGAAGATGAAATTTCTTGTAAAAATCTCTTATTTTTTTATTTAATAGTTATGAAGCCTTATTAAAACCATTGGATGCCTATACAATTTAAATTAATTGTTAATATAAAAATATAATAATATTGATATAATAAAAATGTAAAAAATACCTTATCTTATAATGTATTATCTTTATTAATACTATTATGTTCTATAGTTTCAGTCAATCTTTGTATAACTGAATTAAGAATATTTCTTTTTTTTTACTTTATTATTTTAAGATAGTTGCATATTCTAGCTGATGAACTGTAACCTAAAATTGCCATTGCTTCAACTTCTTTATTTTTAGCATCAAATATTAATTGAATTGCTATATTATATTCTAAATGATTAGAATATTTCTTTCAGATATATTAATACTACATACTAAACAAATTTCTCAAAACATTCCTCTAATTTATTTTTTTTCAAATCCTCAATCATAATACTATATTCCTTTGAAAATTACTAAAAAAAAAATAAAAATTAAGTAGAAATTCAATTAATAATAAAATAATTAAAAAATATTTACCTGATACATTTGTTGAGATTCTTAAATAAAATGTTTTAGTTTATAATTTAAAGGTCTCATTAAAATATACTTACGAATATTTGCATTAAGTTTAACTACATCCTTAATATTTCATTAAAATGGTATTTCAAAAATAGATTGATTTCCTTCTAATCCTTCTTGATCATTTTTTTGTTAAAATTTCTTAAAAATGAATCCCTTTTCTGTATCTTTAAATTAGTTAATGAGTAAATTATGATGTTCGTCATCTCGCAGATATTCTAGTAGAAAAATCCAAAAAATCTTTTTGAAGCAACCCTTTAGGTTCATTTGAAGACATAGCATTATTAGATATGATAATTTTTTATTTCTCATTTGTTAAACCTTTATATAGTTTTGAAGTATTTATTTCTAATCGTTTATTTATTTTAAAATACTATCAAGTATGGCATAAAGTTTTGAAAATTTTTTTTATCTAAAAGATTATAATTTCATTGTGATTTGAAATTTTTAAGATGACTGCTTATTGAGACAACAGCATTTTTCAAGAAAGCTCTTAAGTATTTTTTGCCTTTTATTATTTTTACACCATATATAAATTCACATATTTCATTTTCTATTTGTTTATTAGAGAAAAGTAATTCTAAGGTATAGGTATATTCCACATTTTTATGTCAAGTATTTAAAATATTGACATATTTTTTAATGCATTTAACTGTATTTAATAGTTCAGCTTTGTTGAACCCTTGAAAATTTCTCAGCTATAGGTTGGAATAAGTCTAAAAATTTGCTAATTATTAAAATTAATATAATTTATAGCTTTAATATATAAATTACTTACAATTTCCATTAATGGAATTTAGTTTACGAAAGTAAATTATTTGTAAAATTTGTAAAAAAAGAAAAAATATCATAAGAAAAAATAGTTTGTAGGAAAAATATTATTTATTTATAAAAAAAAGTTTAAAAAGTTAAAAAAATAGCTTAATCACAAAAAACTGAATAAATCACTTATCTGGCACTTTAAGCTGAATAACTACTGTTACCTACAAGATAGCTAATAATATTACTAATTAAATTTAATTTTCCTAATATAATAGTTATTCAGCATAAAGTGCAGAATAACTATTAATTACTAAAATGACAATAAATAGCATATTGAGAATAACTATTCTTAATATAACTTACTTTTACAGTTTGAAGGTTTGTTCTATTTACGAATGAGAAAATAAAACTTTCTTTGATAGCTTTCCATTAATGATTTCCTTTCTAACTAAATAGATTATCTTCTACTACTATTTGTTTAGTTTCATTAATTTTTATTATGACTATATTGGCAACATTTTTATCACATTTTGATGAAATGCTTTAGATATATTAATATCCCTACTGGTATAATAAAGCAGTTTGAAATCATAAAGCATTTTTTTGACATTTTTTTTTTATAAATCCAACCAAAAAACCACAAGATGTCTTCTTGATATTATTTTCTCTCTTGTTAATTCCAATCAGAAAATTTAGCAAAATATTTAAAGTTAACTAGGATAGAATTGCATTTTAACTGTCTAGATAGTTGTATATTAAAATTTGATTTCTTATCTGGTAACAAAGTATATGCTAATATGTTAACAACCAAATTCTTCAGTAATATTTCCCTATAAGGAAGTAGTTATTTAAGTAAATCTTCTGAAGTAATATAATGAATTCTAACTAAAGGAATAAATCTATGAAGAGTTCTTTCCATAATTATAGTTTCTTAATTTTCCATTCTTTTTATCTACAGGAATAAAAGGATTCTAAGCAAAACTCACTTGATTAAGTTATTCCAAATATCAACTACATTCAGACTTAAATCATCCCTCTTTAAAAGGAATTCTAATAAAGGTGCTTTTATACTGATAAATTTATCAGAATAAAAAGCTCTTTAGGGTCTTCACAAATTTTATCAAGATAAAATTCCACAATTTCATAAAAGACTTAAAATCAAATTGCTTGCAAAACCTGTGATGAATCTTTTGTTACATTGCTTGAGAAATATATTACTTATAAAAATTGTAAGCATTGGAGTTTACACAATTTGAATCATTAGATAATCAAATATAATTAATCTAGAGTCTGATCAAGAAAATGCCAACCAACTTGGAAATCCTATAATTAGACGTCCAAAGGGAAGACCTCATGGAGTTACAAGATACAGGAATTCTTTGAAAGAATTAAAATTCAATGAATCTATTGGTGGGAATAAAAATCAACAAAACAAATGCAATAACATAGGACACAATCATACAATTTGTCCGTTAAAACAAAGAAATGAAAATCATTATCATAATTAATCTCAAATCACTACTGTAATTCAAGCTGCCGACGGCGGCTTGAATTACAGTAGTGATTTGAGCCCGGCTTCCTGTTTATCTTTTAACTGTATTTTTTAGGATTTCTTTAATATTTTATTAACATGCATTTTTATAATTTCAAAATTTTTATTATAAAAAAAACTTTATTTTTATGTAATAAAAGGGATACGCATAAAAAAAATATGCATTGTCTTATTTTTAGAAAAGTTTATTTAAATTTTTACCAATGCGTAAAATATTCAAAATTTGAAAATTTTATATATAATATAAGCACCATGTTAATTTACGCAGGTGCGTAGAAAATAAATACCCTTAAATAAAATATTTAAAATATTTAAAAAATTTCGCGATAAAGCCTGTCAAAATGATTAATGAAAATAAAATTAATTTTTAATTATCGTTTATTACAATTAAAACTAAAACCTATATATACAGTTAGAACATTTAAAAGTAAAAAATTATTGTTAACCCGGTCGGTTAAAATCGGTCGATCGGATCAAAGGTCTTTAACCGACCGTTGACCGACAGTTACCATCCCTACTAAAAAGTAAGTTAGTAAGAGAATGCTTTATTTTATAATTCCATTAGAGATTTGCTTCTATCAAAGGTTTATAGAGTCCGGATCGGTCTACGAACATTAGTCATCAAACTTTAGTTATTTTTTAAATAAAAACAAATAACTTACGAATTATTCCATTATGAATTACCTCTTAACGTTCCGGACAGTCCTACAAAGTAAGTTTCAAGTAAGTTTTTTACAATCAAAAAAAACTTCTAATAAATTTATCCATGAGGACTTACCTACAATCCGGAAGGTCCGGAACCTTGAAATCTTGGATCACAGTTAGGTAAGTCATTCGTTAGTTAATTCTTTTATTAAATAAAAATAATCAAATACTAAACTTTACCTTGGTAGACGGTCTGGAACATTGGAACCGATCGAAGGCAAGTCTAATTTTATAAATTCGTTAGTAATTTCTATTTATTATTTTTTTTTTTTTTAAAATAAAAAATTTATTGCTCCGGAAGTAGAACCTTGGAAATTTTGATCGGAGGTAAGTCCTAATGGAGTGGAATATTTATATTTATTAAAAAAAACATTAAACTTACCTTTGTAAAACGGTCTAATCCTTGAAGCCTTGGGTTGGAATCGACTGTTTGGATAACATTCTAAAATATAAAGTTACATAAAATTTCCTAGCTAAGTTCGGAATAAAAAGATCAATAAAAAATAAAAATAAAAATAAAAATAAAGGTTTTTCATCGGATTCATCGGATATCTGAATCTATCCGATCTTTCCGACGGATAATCCGATAAATCCAAATCCGAAGGATAAGATAAGAAATATTATTACGCAGCTAAAACCTATTTTTGAATATATTGTGCCTTAAAATGAGTAACCAGTACTATTTAAATGTTTAGTTTATTTCAATAAATGCTTTTAACAAAAGAGAGATAATTGTTCAAAATGCTTTTTGCTCGAATATAATTTTTAAGCCAACCTGATTCAGATTGAATTTTTACTAGATAAATTGTTAATAAGTACCATTACATTAACAAGTATGCCGCCAAGTTAACAGAATATGCAATATTAGTATGTGACTAAGGTTTAGATATCGCGTGTACTGTTCAAAATATCTTTGCTGTACAGTACAACAAGGACTCGCGTTTATAATCAAGAGAGTTGGTTAATGATCTTCGAAAGTTCTATTCCAAAAATTGAAACCCTATTTTGGAAACATTTTGTAGAAACTAGTTTTTCCGAAAAGAAATAAAACAAAAATGACATGGTCTGGCAATTTTAATACGACGCCAAATAGGAGATGATTGAAAATAATTGAAGTCTAATAATACATTTATAATGTTAAATATAAATGATTTTGGTATATCATATATACATTTATTATTTTAATTTATGTAAAAAGTCCATAAAGAAATCTTACTTTACCGTCGTCAAATGAATAATTAATTATTACATCATTCTTCAAAAGATCTTGTAAGAGTAAGAGAGTAAAAGGGTTTCCATTGCAAGTATTCGGATGATACAACTTATTTTATCCATTTTTCGCATCAAATCGAGATTACGGAACATCATGTTTTGTTTGTAATAAAGAGCTTAAAATCATGAATTATATAGTATAAAAAAATATCACGGAAAGGTGCCCGATTATAGGTGGAGTCGTACCGTCATATTCATCCTTAAATTAACTAAGGGATTCTTAATCGTTTTAGTTAAATTTCACTGTTTTAACGTCTTAATAGTTAGTTAATTTGTATATTAATCGCAGTTAATTTGCTGTAATAGCTTAGTTTGTTGATTATAAAAGTAATTTCAGAGATAAATCTAGCTAAATGGTCACTAAATGTGTGTTTAAAGTATTTTAATAATGGACTTTGACGCACTCATCGTTATACTGACGAAGATTATTGCTAAATAGATCACATAACCTAAACGAGAGTATAACAGTGTTGCGCTCAATTCTTTTCATTTATAATTATAACAAAAAATTTATTTAATAATATCAATTAATCAAGTATTGCCTCAATTCGGCGGCACTTCCGAAATCCGTTTATTAAATTAATTAAAACCAAGAACAAAAGAAACATTTACCATAAAAGGAAATAAAATCGTAATGAATAAAATGGAAAGAAATCAGTTGTTAAAAGAAATAAAAATAAAATCTTTTTAATTCCAAGAGATCGTATATTAAATGTTTTGTAAAATCGATTTTTCCAGAAGGAAATTTGGCTTGACCAGAATAAAAATTGACCAATTGATCTGCAAAGTGAGCTAAATTATTGAGACTTCTCATTGGTTTAATCGGGCCACAAACTCGGAGCTATTCAAATTCAATGAGTTATTATCCGTATTAAGAAAAAACAACTACATACCAATTGCAAGACATGACTTACAATTTTGAAAAGGAAATGCATTTAACATTATCCAGATTATTATGGCTGATTTATACGTTCCGAGATATTCTAAAGATGTCTGAAAGAATGTCTTGAATTTTTCATTGATTGCTTGCTCACTACATAAAATTTTTCAAGGATTGACATTACGACTTAGGTTAATAATTTTAAAATACAACATATTGATTTACTTGAGACTTTCAAAATAGGTCTATATAATCGTAGGCCTATATGATACCACAATAGATTCTTATTTTTTTGACATTTTGGTATTAACACAGAAGGATTTGTTTTATGTCAATATTGATAACAGTTTTTTAATTCCCAATCAAATCCATCACCTTTTTTTAATGATAGTGTTATGATGTAATGATTATAATTATTCAATTGAAACCGGAGAATTCGTTAAAGTGTTTGCCAGAACCTTTATGTGAGAGTATCAACGCACAGGAAATTTAGATGCCAGTATCGACAGCTGCTAAAATTTTGAAAATAAATGAATAAAAAATTACAGAAAATTCTTGATTTAATCGAAGATTCATATCAACGTCACACTTACTTATTCGTTAATTTTTCGCATTAAGAAGCTCTCAGAGATACATTTTCAACACATTTTTAAGATCATCTGCAACAGCTACTTCCTCAACTATTTGAAATTTGATACAAAAACAAATCAATAGTGACCGAACACGCCTAAATGATCATGCATAATTCTAAAACTAATAACGAATATTCAAATGCCTTGCATGCTTGCATGCGGATCTCTAGCCAACTCCTTTGATGACGAATCTCGCGCAAATGAGCCTCCAATTCCTTGACAATCTCTTTATTTAGATCATTATCTTCATTTATTCCGGTCAGTTAGAAATGAAACAATTTTCAAAAAAAATATATGGATTTAGCTTTTATTAACTATATTGGTCATTAATATTACGTACTCTACCAGTGTTGGCAAGTAACCGTAGTGACATATGTGACAAGGTTACTGGTCATAACTAAAAAGTTTAAATGGCCTGATCATAAAAATAAGCCATCACTCCGTCCTGGCAAAAGTATTTGTTAAATTGTAAAATAATTAGTTGCTACTTGCAAGTTTCGTAGTATTTCAATTATATACGATGAAATAATTGACGTTCTTTTCAAATTAAAATCATCAGAACCCTTCCGATATTTTGATCTATTTTTAGTTCTATGAAACTTGTTCCAATGGTTTTAAATATATATTTGTGAAATTTATATAATATAGTTTAATATTTATTGAAGCTTGCATTAAACAAATAATTATTTGTTATATAACTTTAATAAAACTTTTTTTTCATATAATTTAATTAATAATTTAAAAACTTTTTAAAATAAATTTTAATTTAACCTGTTCTCACAATTCACAATTACATAATGCTTTATACTAAAAATTTTAGAAATACAATTATTAATCTTTACTACTTCTTTAATTACTTGACGATATGTTATGTTAACCATATTACATAAAATTTTACAACTATATATTTAAGAACCAGCAAGTTTACTTAGAAACATGTTTAGAATATAGATCAAACGACCGGAAAGTCAAACATTTTATATGCTCACACGCTTTTTTTTTAATTTAAACTTGAAACGAATATTATTAAATGCTAAAAATCTTATCGGATAGAAAGATTATTTCTGGTTTAAATTTACTTATTAGCATATTTTCACAATTAATTAATAGTATGTAGCATACATAAATCACAATTATTTTAATTATTTTGCGAAAATATTTGAAATTTAGTTTGGAGGTAACATTATAAAAAAGTTTATCAGGTTACAATAAATTCGTCACATACTGATGCGATTTACACAATATTAGAGACGCAGCAAATGAACAAAAATAATTATTCTAATGACTTTTAGCCTAATAAATTGACCTAGTGACAATGGTGACCAGTGACCTAAGGTCATGTTATCTAGTGACAAAGGTCATTATAAAGTGACCAGGTCATGTTCCAACATTGTACTCTACTACATCCTATCATGATTACTTATACCTTCAATAATTAGGAAGCATAATCCGAATGATGTGAAGCATCGTTCAAATAAATTTCTATATTCATATTCTACAAGTTCGAATATTAAAATAATTCGAATCCCCAAACTATTGATTATATTTCTTTAAAATCGTTATCATTGCAGCGATTTTGATTAGTAAAAAGTGAGTTAGACTGACAAAATAAACTGTCTTACCATACATATTGATTTCCAAACATTGTTTGAGAAGAAATCGAAATGTTTTATATACATGTTTCAAAAAAAACGATTTGATGTAATAAATTTCATTATCGTAATGCATATAAAAGTACTTTTTTTTTTTTTTATAAAACGAAATTTTAAGGATCGAAAATTTTTTTAAATTTGATAAATTACAACATCGGATATTCCGAAATAATATTTTAGACATAGTATACAAAACCTTACTCTAATTTTTATTACGAAACTTTCTTTAACCTTTTTTTACTTGTAATTTTTATATTTAATCATTTATCGAAATACAATATACTTCAAAAATTACCTAATCGATTCAAAGCACTTCTATTGGTTGTTTTTATTCTAAGTTTAATATAAATTTTAATGTCGGTATTATTCATTCGAAAGTTGGTATTGTAGCGGCCGTGTGGTTTCTCTTTTCTATTTAAGAACATTTTAACAGGATAGAATTTCAATCATCACGAAAATAATTAATAGTATAAAATGGATCGATAACATTTAACTTGTAATAACGAGATAGATTCATTGCTTTATTTATCATATAGGAGAGTTTCTAGGAAAATCAGGTTCCGAGAAATTTTTCACTTAAATTAAGAGCTTAATACATTTTAATCTAATAACATCAAAAACTAAAATGCAATAAAAATCTCAATTTTGTTAAAAAATTCCCGGAACCTGATTTTCCTAGCAATCAACCCATATCCTATCAGGTTAGTTCTTAGAATAGTGTATATACTAACGAATATATTTCACGTAAACAAATGAATATACTTAGATACTCAACATTGCCTTTTTATCACACTTATCACAATAGTAAATAGCGCTCGCAATTCTTCCATGAAGTTCAAAATAAATAGTTCAAATCGTGTATATTATGTTTTAATCAACCATATAACATGTCGTAGTAAGCAAATGAGATCCTAACTCTAAAACTTATTATATTTTGCGAGTAGTTTAGGCAATTCTGTAGCATTACTAGATTTACCGTTTTCTACACCAGTGACCATAAAAAATATTGCCGTGTTTGTTTTATAATACATTGAATGTAATGCACTATACATTATGATTGGAACTGTCATTAATAATTGTCAATATAAAAATGTAGTTGAAGATCAATCATAAACTTTTATTTATTTAAAATCAGCTTCGTTTTCAAATATATTCTTACATTCCTTATTTAAAAATATCTACATAAATAAAAAAAATAAACATTTAAGTGGAATATTGATGCCGAAAATGTATAAATTAATTATTAAATTAAGTGCGAATATGTTAATTAACCGTTGAATTAACCGGCTAATAATAAACCGAACAACCATTATAGTAAATCCCAATTAACCGGTTAATAATTAGCCGGTTCCAATCACTAATGTATAGAATTAAAGTGAATCGTTTTCTTTTGTCATGTATAATCATCTTAACCTAGACCCCGTGGTTCAGTTGTTCAATCTATACCTGTAATCAGTTATTGTATTTACACTCTAGGTCCTTTTTGTATCTAAATAAGTTCTCTTTGCTTATACTAATTGCAATTTACCTTGAGAGAATCTTAATAAATATTTTGTATTTATAAGTTGTGAATACCAAATTTATGAAATATAAAAATTTTGTAGAATTTGAATTTTCGTTGTTGACTTATTCGATGTAAAATAATGTTCAGTATATACTTTTAGAGAAATTGTCAATATATTGTGCACGTAAAAAAATAAGTTCGAAGTTGGCATATTTATGATTAGACATAATTCTGTACCTGATTAAAATTATTTTTTGCATTCAATTGTTTAATTGGTATGATTTCTTCACACTAAAACAATGTATTTCGCCACAATTGCGTTCAACCAACTTAATTTTGTAAAGTTTCGATTTAATAATTTACTAAGTATAATTTAAAGTATAGTATCTCATAAATAAGTATTGGTATTACAAGATAAATATATTTTATTTAAAATAAATACATGTATTATCTTTTATTAACTTGAAATACTTCATAATCATCTGCATGAAACTGACCATTTGGAATATCAATTTGAGGATAAGAATCTGAACTAGCATACCAAACACCATTACTAAAAAAAATTTCACTTTGACCAAAATATGGACCATAATTTGAAGCACAAAGTACAGCATATTGAGTATGATCATCCTTAATATAACCTACTTTTGAAGTTTGAAGGTTTGTTCTATTTATGAATGAGAATATAAAACTATCTTTGGTAGTTTTCCATCCAGATCCTTCCCAACCAAATGGATTATATCCTCCTACTATTTGTTCAGTTCCATTAATTTTTATTACGACTATATTGGCACCTTTGTTATCACATTTTTGATGAAATGCAGACTGAGTATTACCATCCCTACTGGCACGGTAAAGCAATTTGAAATCATAAAGCGTCTTCTTAACATATTTTCCTTTTTATCAATCCAGCCGGAAAATATATATAAATGTTGTGATTTAATTAGGATTGAATCACAAATTAAATCACGAATTGAAAAACATTTTGACTTTCTAGGTGATTGCATATTAATATTTAATTTCTTATCTGGAGCCAAAGCATAAGTTAAAAGATTAAAAACCAAATCCTGTGGTATTAATTCTTTAAAAGGAAGAACGTATTCAAGAAAATCTTCTGAAGGCATATGATGAAATCTAACTAAAGGGATAAATCTATGAAGAGTTCTTTCCATAATTGTAATTTCTTCATTTTTCCATTCTTTGACGTCTTTAGGAATAGAAGGGTTCTGAGCAAAATCCCACTTAATTAAACTTTTCCAAATATCAACTTCAACCAGACTTAAATCATCCTGCTTTAAAAGGAATTTTATTAAAGGTGCTTTTATGCTGATAAATTTATCAGAATTAAAAAGCTCTTCAGGGTCTTCACAAATATTTTCATTATAAAACAATTTCGTGAAGGATTCACATTGATAAATTGTTTCAAGAATTCCTATAGGAATGTTTTATAAAAATTCATGATGGTTTTTAATTGAAAAATCTTTAATTTCGGGAACTAAAGATTGGAGAGTAAGTGCATTTGCTACATTTAAAAGATTTAATATTTCAGTTCCTTCTAACTTCGTCATATCAATCCTTCCGCAGTATATATATCTGAAATTTAAAGAGATATTAGTAACTTGGTTTATATTATTATCGTAGTTGTCGTACTTTATTTACCTTAAGATAATTTTAAAAATATCTGGGGAAATGTTGGGTATTTTTAAAATAAACTTCCCTTCCCTCTTCTCAACATTTTCTTTAGTTAATTCATCATTAATATATTACGACCTAAAACGTAAAATTATTGAATGCGCACGTAGTTCTTTAACGTTTTCATTTTCACTAACATAAATAATGACATCATAACTTTTGTCATTTTCAAATAATCTCTCATAATCATCTTGTAAACATTCTACGGACATTTTTTTTAACAAAAAATTAAAAATTGAAATTAAAAAATTCAAGCTTATTTAACTAAATTTTAAAGCATTTGCATGCATGCATAATTAATAGTGTAACCACTTTTAAGTTTCGTGTAATTAGATGATCTTTTAAGTATCTTGGATTATCCCAATTACAAAACGATAAGATTCTCGATATTAAATACTTAAAAATTTAACTATATATATACAGTCCCCGGCAAAAAGAATGGCGGTGGAAGACTGCATTTATTTTAGGCTGCAGTTTCATCACTTTTCGGATTTAGGCATTTGTTTATATGCCCAAATCGAACATTAGAACCTGAATTAAAAAGGTAAGTTAAAAAAATAAGGTTTGTTATTTGTTTTTATTTGATTTCCTTTCCGAAACTATGCCAAGCTCTTTAAATATACAAAGAAATTCTGTTAAGTCACTATATTTATGGAGTAAACATGTTGAAAATATATATAAATTCATATTTGAGTCTAATAAAATAAAATGTTAGTTTTTCTGTCTGTCTTTATTTTAATAATATTTAATGATAGATATATATATATAGTTTACAATATTTTGATGACAGAAAGCTAATAATATATTGAGGGCTATGAAATTTTAGTAATATGATTCTTACCTGTAGTAATTAACTATTGAACATCAGCTTTTGAAAATGTTAATAAAAAATTTTCATATATCAATACATTTCAAATATAATGAAAAAATAAAATGATCAGCATAAAGTCAAGTGGACAGTTTTTTTGATCTAAAATTTTATTGTGTAATCTTCAATTAGATTCTCTTACTCCTTGATATAACAAAGTATTTACATAATAAAAAATTAGATTTTTGTTCTGCTGAATATATTTATTTAAGAAACATATTATAATAGATAAAATTTTTAATAAAAATTAATGAAAATTATAATATTAATATTATTTTCTTGAAGATATTTTATATTAATCAGTTAGATAATTTATTTACTAAGATAATCATATGGATTCTAAATATCAATTTAATTTTAATATAACAGTCTATTTAATTTTTATATTAATTTAATATTTATAGATTTGTTAACTTTATTTTCATTAAATATATTTAATTTAATTTATTTATTAATTATTTAATATATTTATATTTTTATTAAGTTTTATTACTTTTCTGATAAAGGTAAACTAATAAAATAATAATTTTTAAATAATAAACTTATTATTGCATTAAGAAAGTAATATAATTAATTAAATATAAAACTTATTCTTCTTAACTATTTATAATCATTTAAATTTTTTTGTGAATCCTTTGTATTTAATTCATTTAATTGCAATCCTTTAATTATTAATAAATTTATTGCATAATATAATTAATTCGCTATATTGACTTAAAGTTTTAAAATGTATTCTTTGAAATATTTTTATATTTATTTTGTGTTATTATATTGAAAATAATTTTTAATATTACAATAAATATTCAATTGTGATTCTTTAAGTAATTATCATAATTTTATTATCTTTTATATAAATTATTTTAAATTATAAAATATATGTAATAATATTATTACATAAGATTTATAACTTAAAATAATTTTGTAAGAGTTAAATAAAACTATGATAATTACTTAAGGAATCACAAGTGAGTATTTATAATAACATCAAAGATTATTTTCAATATAATAACACAAAAATAAATATAAGATATTTTAAAGACTACATTTCAAAAATTTTAAATCAATATAGTGAATTAATACAATAATATATAACAAGTTTATTAATAATTAAAGGGATTGTAAATGAATGTAAAGGATTTATGAATAAATTATAAATAGTATAAATGATTATAAAGAATAAGTTTTATATTTGATTAATTATATTTCTTTATTAATATAATAATAAATTCATTATTAGAGAAATATAGAGATATTTATACAGATTAGATAATTAATAAAATAAACTATATTAAATATATTTAATAAAAATAAAGTTAAAGTAATACTAGAAAATAAAATAAACTCATTAATAAAGTTAATAGATCTATAGAAAGATAGTTAAATAAACATCTAAATCTATATGATTAATTATTTTAGAAAATAAATTTAATTAATTAATCTATATAAATGATCTTCAAAGAAATTATGCTGATATTATATTCATTAAATAGTTTTCTAAATAATAATTTTACCTATTTCAATGTATATCTAATTTCTTAGAATAATTATAATAAAAGATATGTTTACTAATATAATATATTATTTGTTTAAATTATTAAGATTAATACAAATCTATAGGACTTGTGAAATTTTCTTAGTCATGATTCAATGCTTAAAAGTTAATAAATTTCAAGCATTGATTTAATATGCTTAACAAATTACATTAATTAATAAAGAAAACTTTAATCTTAGAATTCAAAAATTAGAGAGAAGAAATATTATAAGAAATCAGTATTTATGAATAATAACTGCAAAAAAATAATGAAAATATTAAAAATGTCAAAATATTATTTATATTAATTAAATCAATTATATATGTTAAAATATTATAATAGTTTTATTTTCATATTTATTTATTATATATAATTTTTAAATTTATTATACAATTAACTCTTAATATAACAAATGTTAATATAACAAATTTCACAATATAATGAATTTTGGTATAATATAGATTTTTTATATTAAAAAAATCTTGTTATATTGAATTTACTAATTAAAAGCTAACAATATATAAAAACAATTTTATAAATATATATATATAAATGATCTTTTTTTAACAAATTTATTTATAATGGATTTTTTTAATAAAATAAAGACTTTGAAGATAGATATTATTTAAAGAGAGCCAGTATAAAAAAGAATAAAAAAGAATATACGTTTACCTTCAAAAATTCGAATAAGCATTTCTGATTAATTTTCAAAATCTGTTAAAATAATTTCAGAATCTCAATAGATACTTCAGTATTATAATTAATAAGCGTATCATGGTACTGCTGGTAAATTTAATATTCAGAGATAAAGTAGCAATATCGAGTAAAAAAAAATCTTGAGCTTTTTAGAAATATTATTAGATAAATAGTATCTTGAATGACAGTATTATAGGCCACAGTTTCATCAGGATTAACAGATTTATTTAGTTCTTTACCATTAAAGAACTCAGATACTATCTTTTGGATTTTAAGAATATGTATTGAAATCACTAACTAGAACAATTTTATAAATTTGACTTTTGTCTAATTTAGAATCTTGAAGTACTTTTTAATGATTTCTATTGTAGATTGAATAAGTCTTAATTTAATTTCTTTAAATTTTACACATATTAAGAAGGTATAGAAATCAATATATTTGAAAAGTAAATCTATTTCTATGGAAGCTTTTGATGATGAAAAAAGTTCACGCTTTACACATTCACAAGCTATTTTTAATCGATGGAAAGCACCTGCATTTGTTGTAAGATCTTCCTTAATTTTTTAGTTAAATAATGATTTATAAGTTGATTTCATCAAGAATTATATTACCAGCAATGGCTTTTACTTTAAAAATTCCTTCTTCTATAGTTAGGAGTGAAAGATCGAAAAAACTACCACTTAAATCATAGATAAGAATGTTTTATTTATCACAAGCTTTTGTATTCAAACTATAAGCAATAACCACTATAGTTACTTATTAATTATGTATAATACTTTCAAATCAGTGATTTTACTGAAATCTTTTATTGCTTGACGTTAAGATTCATTAAATTAAGCTGGTGAAATAATTATGGTATTATTAATTTTTGTACTAAGGTAAGCTTCTGCAGTTTTCTTTAAATTTACCAAGATCATTGAAGAAATTTCTTCAAGTGTGAAATCTTTCTTTTTACCTTTGAATCTGACTTAGATATATGGCTTTTTATTCTTTTCAATGACTTTAATTAGTCAATGCTAATAAATAAGATAAGAATTATAAATGTATTAAAATGCATTGTAAATCAAATTTATATCATTGAGATATAATTTTACCTTAATATATCAGATTAAATAACTTTATCACTAAAATTACGTTCAATGAGATATTAAACATTAAATACAGTATTATAATAATTTATACTTATTTGATTTTTGCAGCATCACTGTTAAGACGTTCTGTTTTAGTGAAAATGACATATGAAAGCGTCATATGATGACTCTAGTTATTAGTAATAATTTTTAATTCAATCATATTTCCAAATTCTAACAAGAAATATATTGAATCCAAATCAATTTCAACTAAATTTAACAAGATAAAATTTTTAAATTTGTGATTTTCTGTATTCAATGAATAGGGAAGATTTTTTTATGCATATATATTAGCATTTTCATTTGATATTATAATAAATATATATACAAAAGGATACTGAACCCATATGATATAATTAACATTCTTAAAGAAAAGTCAAATTTATGAGTGTTTATTTAGAATGGATAAATATGGAACTTGTGACTGACATATGACAACTTACTGAATTTAAAACCTGTTTATTATTAGAGTAATTTAAGAAAATCTGACAAAATACTCACTTTAATCAGATATTAAATCTCAGGATTTTTGAATCTTATAAATGATTAGGAAAAATTTTCAACAAAGTATTTTTTTCACATCAGTTATAAAATAGTTGATAATGCCTTTAATATTTATAATTTATAATTTATTTATAATTTTCTTTTCTTTAACTACTTTGGCTATTATGTCAAACTTGAAAATTTATAATAAATTTAAGAAGATCATCACCTGATTTAATCAGATTGTACAAAAATGTTATCAAGATCATTAAAGTTATAATAAAATTATAGTAAAGCTGTATTTTAAGTTTATAGTTTACTTGTTAAACAATCTAAGAAATAATAAATATTCAATTTTTAAAAATTTCACAAAAAAAAAATAATAAGGTTTAATTTGCATTTAGACTATTAATTTATAAAATTTTATTATATTTTTTAAAATTATTTCTAATTATCATAGATTCGATAATAATTTCGCAAATATATTTTGTTTTTTCCTTCATTTATAATATTTACACCTAACCTGCTATTAATTTTAAATAAATCTAGCGTGTATTTTTAAATCAGCTTTTATGTGTGATATCAATATTAAATAGTTGCTTATGTTCACCCTACAATTCCTCTAAGGTATTTGTAATTAAAATATCAAACCTTTAAACCAAATCTATGTCAAAAAGGTTGTTAAATAATAATATATAATATATGTATATATGGGGGACTCTATCAGTATCTTAGATATGGAAAGAATATTATTAACTGTATCATTTAATAATGAATGTACATAAAAGAATGATAAAAAACACATCAAATAAATGTGCTGATCATTTATTGCAAATGAATGTAAATTTATAGAAAAATGAGAATTTTGTCAGATTATGGAATTCTAAAGTTTACGTGATTTATTTATCACAGACTTTTTTAAAGTTTATCACATCATAATATAATTTACATTCTTATTCTCATTGGTATTTTTTTACTTGTTTATTTCATTTAGCAAAAGTATAGACGATGAATCATTCAAAAATAATATTCTTTTAAAAAAAAATATGTTCAAACTAAAGTTGCGTAATAAACTCAAACCCTATTTTGACAAAAGTTAAAACTTTTGATTTCAATAGTTTTGATAGGTCAACCATAAATAGTCAAAATTTTATATTGTGTCTCTTAATTAGTCTTAATAATATTCTATAAATTTTATACGACTGTTGGATAATTATTGGATTAAAAGAAATTTTTTAGTTACATGACTAATATACTTATGAACATTTTTTGTAGATAATAGCATTTGTTAGACTTAAGTAAGAGTATCTGAATTTTAACGTAATAAGATCCTATTATTATTTGTTAAAAATCAAAGACTTATTTTTATTTTTAAGTAAAATTCACCTAAATAAAATTTATAATAGATTATTTTATATATGAATAATTAGTTGCAGCTTGTTCACAAGACTTTTGTCATTTCTTGATAGCTTTGTTAAATCAGACTTAGTTCTTTTTAACCTCTTCTTGAGCTTGAAAAGAATCCTAAATCTGTCAGAACTAAGCTTAAGTGTCTGTGATCGGCTATGAGACATTCTTGAAAATAGAAAATCAGTTATAATCTTCATCTTCTTCACTATTAACAACAAAAGAGATTGGATTAATGCTTTTCTTAATTCATTACAGTACATACTGTGGCTTCTAAAAAAATGCATCACTATATTATTTATTATTAATCATGTGATTTATAATTAATAAATAAAATCTGATTATTTTAATATTTATTAAATATATAGTATACTATAAGATCTTCATAATATAGCAATTTTAATATTACTTGATAAATCAGAAAATTTTTATCACGTGATTATTTATTAAATAATGGTATGTTTAATATGGCATTTTCATAAATATAATAAATTTATTAAATTTTTTTAAAAAAAACTAAATTAATCCCAATTAAAAATTTCACCAAATATTCTTACCATCGAGTATAACCACCTTTTGCTTTGATTACATCATTTATTCTTTCTGGCATTGATTCTATTAATTTGATACATATTTCTAATACAGTTTCTTCCTATATCTTATGAATTTGCTCCTATAACATATCTTTTCCTCTAGAGTTTGGACTTAAGTCAGAAAAGTTAACTCAAGTCAGTATTCAAGTTGGAAATTTAAGTCAGAAATTTAAGTCAAACTTGAGTTAAAGTTATAATACAGGCTAGAAAAGTACAATGTAAGGCTAAAATTTTGTGATATTTTTTGGATTGAACTAAAGGAAATTTTTTTGAAAAATTTTTATTTAAATAATAAATGTTAATTATATTATGCTAATAAATACAGTTTAAGAAAAGAATTACATGCTATTTATAAAATATAGCATAAATTTGAAGTTAACTTAAGTAGTTTTAATTCGAGTCAACTTGAATTCTAACTTGAATTAAGAAAATCTTGACTCAAATCAGAATTTAATTCGATTTGACTCAAGTTAAACAAATACAAGTCCAGTCTCTATTTTTCTCTAATTTTAATATCTAATGCTTTAATATGATGATTCACATCATTTTACAAGTGTTCAATTGGATTCAAGTTAGAAGATTGTGATAGCCAAGGTAAAAGCTCTACATTATTATCTTCAAACCATTTTTTAGTATAGCAGTATGTTTAAGGTCATTATCTTATATAAAGAAAATATTATAAGTACTTAATTCATAGTATTGCAAAGTCTCTATAAAGTCTTTATCTAAAATCTTACAGTAAAGTTTTGCATTAAGCCTACTATCTATTTTACAGAGATAATCTATACCATAAGATGTAAAACATTCTCATACAAAAACACTTTCATCACTAAACTTAACAGTAGGTTTAATATGAGTATTTTAAAAGGGTTTTCCTATTTTTTTCAATAATACTCATGTCTATCTAAACCAAATATTTGAAATTTGAACTTATTTGACTATACAATTTTGTTCTATTCATTTATTATTCAATCCTTATATCTCTTTGCAAATTTAAGGCATTTTTCATGATTTTTTTTTGATAAAAGTAGCTTTTTATGCTTTACTCGAGCTATTAAACTATTTCTTTTCAAAGCTCTACGAATAGTGTTAGTGCTGATTTTAATATTATCAGAAGTTTTTAGTGATTTTTAGAGTTAGATCGTGGTTGTACATTCCTTTGTCATTAAACATCTTATAAGAGAACATTATACTTGCTTATTCAATTTTCTTGGACAACCTGAACCTGATTTGTTTAGTCTTAAAATGGTTGTATAGCTTTTACAACCAACTTTTGTGATAATTTCTCTTAAAGCAAAGCTGTTTTTAAGCAGTATAATTGCTTATGCTCTCTGTTCAGAAGTTAACTGAATCTTAAAATAATAATACATAAAGAAGGTTTTTAAAGGAGTGTGAGTATGCGAAAGGAAGTGTTTATTATAAAATTTATTATTTATAAATAAAAAAAAATTTTTTTTATTTGGTTTTTATTTTTTTTTTTATCAAATGACAAAAATAAAACACCATGGGTTTGAAAAAAAAAAATGTATGTAGATCAATCTATGTAATACAAAAAAGAAATCTAACTATATTTATTTTGAAGATCTACATCT